TAAAATTAAAAAAAACCACATTTTGAGCACAAATCATACACAGATTTTACCTGTTTGTTGTTGTTTTAAACTATGATCTTTATATTGACTTCTACCTGCCTCAAACATACACGCTTTCTTCAGATGACATACACAAGCTTTTGAAGCCGATGTCAGCATAATTTCCTAGCTGAAAGAATTTTAAGTGTACTTGATATGAAAGTAATCCTAGAGGCATAATTACATAAAAATAACAACCATAACATCTTTACTGGGAAGCATGAATCAAAGCTATTCTTCCCCCCCAAATTTCTCCCAGGAAGCATTAGAAGTTACTAGCAAAGACTTCCAAAGATCTTACAGCCATAGTGCAGTGTACATTTTAAAATCTGAGTCTTCAATTTAAACAACAGTGCTTTACATTCCTGAGTCAAGCTGTAGGCCGCATGCTTAAGACACCTGTCTAAAAAACAAGCAAAATCTTTGCTTACTGAGTGCAGCTGATGGCTTCTCTTACATTCAAAGTGTGATTCTGTGGCAGGGAAATAAAATATATAAATATTTTGTATAAATCTACTACCCTGTGCTGATCAAAACATGGGAGCAACAAAATGTAATGATGACATCAGACTTCTCTGCAGTCACTATAAAAATAAGATCCCACTGGCAAAGAGATCGGGACAAAAGCAATTTGTATAAAAACATGAAGAGCATCTATCCTGCAAAGAAAACTTTTGACTCATGCAGATGTATGAATCATACCATCATACCAGAACTCTATGCACGTGTAAAGCTGTATGTAAACAGGTAGTGCTGATGGTGTGTTTCGAGTCTTATCAATGATAAAAACTACATCAAGTGTTAAAATTCTCCCTTAACATTGTGAGTTAAGTGACTGCTGGCTCTGCTAAGGCTCTTGCTGTGTCTCAACGACCCTAATTGCACTGGGATTTCCTGTGTTTGCAGTTTCTTGGGTTCCATCAGCTGGGGACAGCAAGCATCTATTTTAGCAGTATCAGGTAAAACCACGCACAAGGATAAAAACATAATAGCTACCGAGCAAGGATACAACATGAACAAACACCTCCTCACGATTCCTTGTCGGGCTCAGAAAGTCACTCCTTATTCTCTCCCTTTTTACACAAGAAAGATATTTGGAATTTACATCCTTGCTAATTAAGGTTTTGCAAAGCTAAGATTGGAATTTTCAGTCTACAGCACTACTGGTTGTATTTAACCTGCTGGAACAATAAATTCACCATCTTTCTCAGGAAGCCTCAGGTTCTTGCTGTCACTTGTACATATCTTAAACTATGCCACACAATCTGTCACTGGAATAATAAATTGAGTAACAAATAAACTTTCAGCAATTTTCTTTTACAGGCAGCTGGATGGCAAAACTGATGAGAGCCAAGCAGCTTAAAGGGAAAAAAACAAAGAAATAATTTTAGAATTTACTTTATACCTCACATTAAGCAAGTGTCATAACAAAACTATGTAACATACGAAGGATTTTTGCATCAACTTTTGAAAATGCTGCACATTTCAAAATATTTGATATTACCTCCCGTATCTGGCACTGTAAATAACACATGAAGTAACGCCCTTTCAGAAATAGGAAACCTCACTGTATTACCCTGACAGAAGCATCATTCCTGTTAACCTTCTGTTCTCAAAATTAGCAATGAGATCTTACCTTCCAGCTCTTTCTAATGTGCAGTTTTGAGTGATTTCCCTCCTGCCTTTTTGTTTTCTGTGTGTTGCATTTTGGTGGGTTATTAAAATGCAACTATTAAACTAAATACTGCTTTTCTGGTTGCAAGTTCGTTCTTTGCATTTACAAGCATCATCAAAATAACTGATTTTGGCTGCTTTCCACAACATACTGAGGATTATGGCAAATGCACTGTTCTATATGGTACTTCTATAGCTCTGTTCCTTTTATTTTGGACCTGGCCATAAGCTACCTGCAGTGTTATACAAAAGTGGTTTTAAATAGTAGGTCAGAATTTATAAAGCACAGTGAAAACTTAATACACTGTACAAATCACTGATGATTATTGCTCTGTTGGTTCACACAAAAACTGATCTGTAATTAAAAGTGAAATTCTACAGGCTTAAGGTTTTATTAATGCACCATTTTCTCATCATTGTGATTTAAATGGTGATACACATCAAGCTGTCAGCTTGCCTTTCCATAAAGTCACAGATTTGTGTCCGTTCTGATAATGTGTAATTCCCAAGTACTGAAATTGGAGGTCTGGAGCAGTGTGACATATTGCAGAGGCAACAAACATTCTAATTCCTTAAGCCTCAGGGATTATCATATTACCTGCTCTCTTACACAGCGGATATTAAACCTATGTGTCTTTGCAACAGAGACCTACTCAGAGTCTAAATCAGCGACACAGAGGCTGTGTTTTTCCAAAGCATCATTAAAATGTTTTAAAAATAGAGCACAAATGTCCACCCCCGCTCACCACTAGCATTCATTTTTAATTAGATACACAAGACTCAATTGTGCTCGTACTTCTCTTTGCCAATTCATTTCAGGAAGCTTTATCTGCAAACAGAGATCTGTGCCAGCCTCGCTTGTATGTCCTTCTCAACAGCACCACAACAAGCCCCCATTTATTTCATTCCACAGTTACCGCAGCACTGTAGAGAAAGGGAAAGCTCTGCTCAGCTCTGGTGAGGCCGCACCTGGAGTACTGGGTGCAGTTCTGGGCGCCCCAGTATAAGAGGGACGTGGAGCTCCTAGAGAGGGTCCAGCAGAGAGCAACTAAGATGATTAAGGGACTGGGGCATCTCTCGTATGAAGAGAGACTGAGTGAGTAGGGCTTGTTCAGCTTGGAGAAGAGAAGGCTGAGAGGGGATCTGATTAATATGTATAAGTTGATGAAGGGAGAATGTAGGGAATGGGCATAAGCTAAAACACAGGAAGTTCCATCTGCGTGTGAGGAGGAACTTCTTTACTGTGAGGGTGACAGAGCCCTGGCACAGGCTGCCCAGGGAGGTTGTGGAGTCTCCCTCTCTGGAGGTCTTCAAAACCTGCCTGGATGCCGCCCTGTGCCCCGTGCTCTGGGTGTCCCTGCTGGAGCAGGAAGGTTGGACTAGGTGATCTCTAGAGGTCCCTTCCAACCTTAACCATTCTGTGATTCTGTGGATCAGAAAGTTACGTTGTTAAAATCCAACCTGCTCTTCCTTTCTGTCTGTCAAGTCCATTAGAACAACCTGCCTGTGTGTAAAACGTTCTGCATTAAGAACAAAACGTCTCTGAACAAAAGCTTTGCTGCTTTAAGCATATTGAAGAATTCTAGGAAGCAGGGCTAGAATTTTTTGAAATATTCTGCCAAAGCAGTTTTAGTTCTGCTTTTTAAATAAAATTCCATTTTGAAAATGGTTTTATGGATGCATATGCCAAGAAGTAACACTGAAGAAGTCCAAAGAAATCCTTTACAGTTGCCCTTTCTCACAAAAAGGAAGATGGGCTTCTACCATATTAGTAAATAAGTAAATTCTTTCCAAATCATAGAATCACAGAATGCTTAAGGTTGGAAGGGACCTCAGAGGTCATCGAGTCCAACTCCCCTGCTCACGCAGGGTCACCTAGAGCACGTGGCACAGGGCTGCATCCAAGCGGCTTTTAAAGATCTCCAAAGAAGGAGACTCCACAACCTCCCTGGGCAGCCTGTTCCAGTGCTTTGTCACCCTCACAGTGAAGAAATGCTTCCTTAAGTTCCTGTGGAACTTCCGAAGCTTCAGTTTGAAGCCATTTCCCCTAGTCCTATCACTGCCCACCACTGAAAAGAGGCCGCCCCCTCCTCCTCACTGCCTCCCTTGAGGTATTTATACACGCTGATCAGGTCCCCCCTCAGCCTCCTCTTCTCCAGGCTGAACAGACCCAGCTCCCTCAGCCTTTGCTCATATGGCAGATGTTCCAGGCCCCTGATCATCCTGGTAGCCCTGCGCTGGACTCTCTCCAGCAGCTCCACACCACTCTTGTACTGGGGAGCCCAGAACTGGACGCAGTACTCCAGCCTTACTAGTTCTTAATTATCCCATTAAATAAATTGAGAGGTATTTTCCTTATAACTATTGAGTCTGCTTTCGCAGTACACAGTCCATCTAGGATAAATATTGACACCCTTCACATTAGCTGTGTTATCCCACATTCAAGAAAAAAATGCAGCTAAGGAAATGGATCGGCATTCAGTATTCCCCCCAAATACAATCTTGTTTTCACAACTGTCTGCCCACTCTTTGCAAGCCAGCCACCTCACCAATGCCTATACCAATCCCTCCTCACTGCATTTTAAATTAGACAAAACTACCTTGTGCCCGCAGCATCTGAAAAGCAATGGTCAGGAGAGGTTTGGAGTTCAGCTCGTCCTTGCCCTCCTGGGTCTATCCTCTAGGACTTCCATTAATCAGTTTCTGAGCTTTTTGCCTTACGGCACTGTAAGGAATTAGCAGCGTGCACAGAGCAACAGAACAGCCACTAAGGAAAGGAGGAATACAACACTCTGCTGCCTGAAAGACACTGCAACATCCCCCACGACAGATTTATAAATCCTTATTCCCGAATTCCTCAAGATTGTTTCTTTGTTATAAGCCAAGTGAGAAAACTCTGTTTAGCACTAGCTTTGTCAACATAAATTCTGAGAAATTAAACTTTCACAGGGAATATGAAAGACATTAAATCCATGACTTTTGTGTATGCTGAAATGCAGTTTGAAGCGTTAAGAAAATAAATCAGGAGAAATCTACAATTCACAAAAAGCCTACAGTGAAAATACCACTTATAAATTGCCAGTCATAGAGTCTTGCAACCAAATCACTGAAACAAAGCCTGTTTTGTTACAAACATATATATATATATATAAAATAAAAATATTTTACTTAGGGAAAGGAGCGTAGTACAGTGAGAAGGTGGTACACAGTGAAGATGCATGAATCATTTGTGATCATAACAAAAACATACGAGAATCCTTTTTATACAACTTTAAAATTCAGTGCAAGTTTCTGTTCAACATCACCCTACAAAAGTTGTAAACTTGTGACGACAAAGTACTGAGTGTGTGGTATCAGTTAACCAAGCGTATAGACTTGAGGGTCATTCCCCCATATTCATTTGCACAAGCCAGCATTTTTCACTTGTTTCCATCTCTTGGAATATCAAAACCACCTTTATACTCGCGGGCATTATTCTCACTTCACACCTGTGATCAGGGATTAGTCACCCTGCTTACAATTCAAACAGGGAGCTAATGACAGGGTTCAGGCTCGCAGTGAGTGTCCTCATTTCCTTCCAATATGCTCAGTTATGGTATTGTGCTGCAACAAGATCAAGATATTTGATATAGGAAGAAGGAAAAACACAGACTAGGGTACACTGGGTTCTTGATGATTGGCAGATTTAACAAGTCATCATCTATTGAATTTGAAGAGGTGGAATTGCTCCTGCATTAGCAAGTTTGCCATTTGTGGTCATTTTATAAGGCAGTCTTAAATCAGAGAGCGCTCTGAACACAAAAAAATACCCTGTGATCTGCAAGACCAAAAGCACATTCCAAATAACATTCTGAGGCATAATGAGACATAAACCTCAGGCTTTCTAATAGTTTTATCATGACAAAAGCTTTCCAGCAGCTTAAGCAGAGAGCTGGGACTCTAACGCTGCACTGAAGGACAGCAGCCGAGCTTGGGCAGTGAACTGAAGCTGCTGCAAGTGCATTTTCTTTCTGCAGCAAGAACAAGACAGCGATGAATTCATGTTGCAAAAATACCTCACATTATGCTTCAGAAATACAAATCCCTGTTTGCAATGTTTAGGTCACTACTGTTTTCCAAAGTTTGACAAAAAAAAAAGCTGGCCCTTTACCAAAGAGACATTTTATTAACTTACATTCTCCTTAAAAAAAAGTCTTTCTAACCAGACTGCTTCCTTCCTCATAGGAGGTAGTATAGAAAACATAACCAGTAGTATCTGTCAGCATCTCAGCACCACGAGAGCAAAAGAGTTCCATGATGAGATGGTGAGAGTCCAAGAAGTATCAACTGGTGGCATTCTGAAGGAATATGGCTAAAAAGAGAATTTTAACAGCATATGGTTTTAAGATAACATTTTTTATATAGGTAATACATAAAGAACAATGAATTGACAAACATGGCAAGTAAGATTTTTAAACAGTTTGTGTAACACTGAGTGCTGACTTTGTTCTCAAACTTAAAGCCTATGTGCATACAGGTGTTTGCCTATGGTCAAATTAGAAGAGACTGGCCATTCAATTAGTTTTCTAATTTCAATTTTTCAAAAGAAAAAATAGCTATGATTTTTTTTTCTCTCAGAGACATGACAAAATTTCTAGCTAAACAAAAGTCTCTGGATGTTTTATTGTGTTGTCATTACCTTGCCTTCTACTAGTCCCATCCCTCGATTTATTATTAGACTAATTTTAGACAGAAAGGGTACATTGCAAGGGTTTTACATCACACAGAGATAAAACAGATTCAATATTTGTAAGGAACAGTGTATTTTGGGAATCTGTGAAATAACACTCAGATGACTGAGCACTAAATACAAACTGCACAAATCACTGTAATTTTTTGTTTGTGTTTCCCCTTTCTGTCCTTAAATTACGTAAATCAACATCGATGTAGTGCAAAGTCCAATTTAAGTGGTATATCCAAAAGCAGCCATTTGCTAAGGTGCTCCTGGAGAAAGTGCAAAATTTGTCCATTCTGGATGGGATTGTAGTCAAGCGCCGGCAAACACCATACTTGCATCCTACTGAGAAGAGCTCTTGTTTCTTGATGCATTTATCTTCCTGTTTGGGCAGAAATCATCAACCTAACGGGATCTCCAACTTTTTAAACCATTTCTTACCATAGTCATCTTCCAGAAGCAAATAAAATCTTCTAAATCTCAGTACCTTTAGATTTAAAAGTTTATATTTCTCACACTTTGCAAGACTTCATCATGGAACCAACTTTCAGTGAACACATTAGAGTTTTGCAAGGCATCAAAGAGACGCATATAGTCTTCCGGGTACAGGCTAACTGTCTCAGCATCTTCTGGAATTTCTAGCTCTCTCAGTAACTTGCAGGCATCATACAAGCTCCATGAACTGAAATACAAAATGAACAGAGTCTTAATGGAGCACTTCTTTTGGGGAAAATAAAATCAGTATCAAGACAGAGTAACTGAAGGCCCATTTTATTCTTTCTCAGCTTCTAGAAGTTTGCACCTTCTTTCTGTGACATAAGTTATTTTCAACCCATGCTGCAAATGGGAGGAAACTCCTGCTAAGAAGCTTTGTACATACCAAATAACCCCCCTCTAAACAAAAACAGCACCAAACCACGTAACACACCTCCTTGGAGGGCAACTCTCCCCCACATAAGTCAGTAACAAGCATTATAGCATAACTGGATCTATTTGAATGCCTGGGAAACTAAAGCCAAGGTCATCTTCAAGATGATGATTCAGTCTAGCACACGATAGTGTGAATTACCCCACCCACATATTTTCTTCTGGCTATAAACATATCCATGCACTGTCTGTCCTGTGTGGCATTACAATGAAAACTCCACCTCTGATATTCGTGCACACACGTTAACCACAGAGGATGTAAATTAGAAGCCTGTAAGGTTAGTTCCACATCCTGGCTGAAGGACTGAAGAAAGATTAGGGAATGACAGAGCTTTAAGAAAGAAATCCATTAAGGCTCTTTGCACTTGTCTTTGTTAAAGGAGTTATAGAAGCTTGTTAACATATTGGATTTTTCCATTCGGGAAATTAACACCCATAAACATCCACTGCCTGTGTATGAGAAATAATCTACGCTAATTATTTTCCTCAGTAAATTAAAGCCAATGCTTCCCAGAGCGCACACAGCTCCTCTCTATGGGAGCAGAAATCTAGTGACCTAAAAGCCAAATAGCTCCCATGTCACATCAAAGAGAGCGGCTGAGGACACGCGCGTAGCAAGTAAATATGTCCAAAGTCCAACGTTTCAATTAGATAACAGCAAGCCATTTGCTTGCTCACATCCTCACTCAACCCTCGACAACCTTCAGTCATTTTCACTGCCTTGCTTTGATGCTTCTTACAAACTCAAACTCTGGTCCAGCATTTTAATTTCTACACCCTGAAAAATTTGGGGATTTTTTTAGTATGTCTTTTAGCTGAACAGAAACTTCTTGAAGATCTGCGCATTCACTTCCATTAGAATTACAGCCGACTACTGCATCTTTATACTCTAAATACCTCTCCACCTTGATGGCAAACTTCTGAGCATAAATGAAGAATATTTCCCAAAGCTAGTAAATTTGAGTTTGGGAAAAAAAAATGAGAACTTGTGTTTTGCATGTAGATGTTTCTAACTAAAGGTGTATTTCAACTGCAAATGGATACTGTTTCTATAACGTATTTTAGAATGCTTCTATATTTCTCTGAAGAAAAAGTATACAAATACATTTCATCCATACTTACTTTAATTTATCAATAATTCTAGAACTGGGTTTAGCAAGACACTGTTTCACCAGGAAAACAAAGGTTGCTGAATTTGTGTTTTTCATGCTTCCTGTAAATAGATCTTTTCGGGGAGTCAGTCGAACCAAACATAAATGATCATTTGGCAGAGCCTGAAAGAAAAAGAAACCATTGTATGAAAATCATTTTTAAGACAGTACCTTTCTTAAGGTAAGCATTTGACCTGTGACACAAATAACATTTTAAAAAAGCATTAGTGGAAGTCTTGAAGTACTTTCACTAAAAGCAAAGCCAATAAAATTTCTGTCTCAAACTAAGATAGTTTTATCTTTTTTTTTTCAAGCAGGAAAGAAAACAGGAAATAGGAATTTTTTTTTTGATTAGAACTTAGTTCAAGCAGACAACATGCATGAACTTTCAATAGAAATTGCATGGCCTATATTATGCTTGAATTATGCAAGATTTCAGATCAAATAATTTCAGCTACCTGCCTCGTGTGTGTATACACACACACACACACACACACACAAATGGGAATAGTGGAGCGCAACACTTGAAGACAGTACCGCAGTTTGAGAATTTTATGAAGTTTGGAAGGGACAGAGTCTTTATTCATCATAAAGATACTTTTGGCAGCAGTGGATATATCATCCAACAGATCTCCCTTTTCCTAAGGTTGTAAGGGTTACAACACATCTTGCACACTTATTTTATGTATCTCTACAGGGCACTACAACAACCCACTTAGGTGTGTAAGGCAGACCCAGCCATTGAGTCACTTACATCACACAACAGCATTTCAAACAACACTCACTATATTACTGCAGCATGGCTTTGCAGGGAGGGTAAAAGTAAAAACATGCTTTTAGATTGTTAGGCTTAAATAGAAATATTCCTTTATTATACAAAAGAATATCAGTACTTCTCTACAAGAGAAAAATAAATAATTTTAGATGAAAGTATTTTCCAATTCTCAGATTTAGCCTTTGAGACCCACACTTGTCAGCACTTAGCTGGTGGAATCTACACTGGACACACGAGCACCAGCTTCACCATCAACAGCAGCTTCCCCATGGTGCCATTAATTGTGTACTAGTTGTTCTGTTCAAGCAGGTAGGCACCTCTTCACATTCACATATGTTGTTTATTCACTATATTTTTCTCCTTCACAGACAATAAAAAGATAGTAATTTATTTCAGTTTCTACTCAAAAGCAGTTCTGCACACCACTTCTCAGGTATCTACACACTGCTTTTGTGTTTTAATTACAAGAACATTTCATGCATGATACACTACTGAGAACCAGGAGATACAAATGCTGTTATAAAGTTCTTTTAACCTATGTTCAATTAAAACTGCTTTACTTACACATTTAAAGGAGGAAAGCCCTCACACTGATCTTACCGTGCTCTTTGGTATTGCCAGTCCCCCACTTTTCAAATTAGTTAAAAATGATGCCCAAGGTTCCTATGGGATGGAGCAAATAAATTGTAAAATTTAAATGCTTTGCTAAAAATTGAAAATGTATTATCAATCTCATCAAATCCGAAATTTACTCCCTTTCTAAGATTTACTTTAAAATGGTCTAAATATATTAATGGGAAAGCTGTAAAAATGTCAGGTAATAAGCACACGAAGTCCAGATTGAAGATGTTACTTAACCCCAAACCCTCATAAAGTATCTGAATAGTGCTCCTGAAATTACTTAAATCACTTGCATATATCACAATAATTTAGCAAGGCTACTTTTAGGTTTCCAGTTCAGGGTTTGGCCTGAACAAAGCTTAAAACTGATAGGAAACACCTAAGTCCCCAGTTCACTAATTGGACTCCCACAGTATCTGAAACAGACACCAGGCAAACACAATAAAACCCAGGCAAGTGAATGATGGTTTCCCTCTTATCATCCTCTTAGTCTCCACCTATGTAATAGTTTGAAATATCCTGAAAAGATCTGTCTCTTACCTAAAGGTCACTTCCCTATCCACCAGCTTCTAAGCACAGAGGCTTGTGATTAGAACACTAGCACCATAACTGATAATACTTACTAATTTAATAATTATTTTAATAATATAATTTAATAATTTAACTGACAAATTACCTCCCAATTAGCTTCCAACTGCTCAAGCAGTTTTCCGTAAACACATCTATAGCATTCACCATGGTGGCTGATACAAAATACTTACCATGTGCAGAAGTTGAATCTCGCATCCTACTTGCCAGAGCACAGTAAGCGCTTGGTAGATCCTCTTTTCTCCAGGTTTTGCTGTTAATATCTGACAAAATGGCAAAGAAAGAACTTATTTTTCCCCTCCTCAAAGCCCAAGATTTCTCTTTATCTAAGCAAAATCCTTATGAATAGAACAAGTGGTAAAAAATTCACAGCAAAGTCTAAAGTTCCAAGTTAAACTTAGGTTAGGCCTTAGTGCATCCCTAAGAATAAGACTAGAAGACACTATATCAACCTACTTCTTTTTGAGGCAATTCTTTGGATAATTGAATCACGCAGGAATTTCCAGCTTACACTTTCTGGTCCCTTGCAAGGTAGAACAGTTTCATGCGGAAGAAAAATAGTGTTATGCATAAGAAAAATACAGGAAGAGTTAGCAGCTTCGGAGCACTTCCACATTTACCGGAGAGTATTCCCAGCACTAAGGAGGTTGTACAGTCATCATGCTAATCAATATTACAGATTAGACAACACTTAGGGAAGAGGGGAAAAAAAAAAAAAAAAAAGAACTCATCATGGTCACTATCAAACAAGGCGAAGAAAAGTGGATCATACCACATACATCTAATTTCACACAATTTCATACCATCAGCCAATAAAAGGGAATCAACAACATCCATCAGAAGAAGGTTCCAACTGCTTTTACTTCAGTAAAATCAGCTTATATTCAGAGGACTCACAATAAGCTTAATTTAAAAAATAAATAACTGCACACACACACAAATATATGACTGCCCTAAAAGGAGTAGACTGCCTTCCACCTACTCAAAATCTGGATGCCCACTTGTATTTCTCAGAAAACTATACTACTTTTTAAGCAATGTGTTGGACAGACTTGTGTACACAGGTTGTGTAGGTACAGGTGGAAGCCTCTGCTTACCTCAGTAATCAAGGGTTTGTGGCTCTGAATGAAAGTTACAGTTTCGCAGAAAGAAAAGGCATCCCTGAACTACAGTCAGGGTGGTTTAGTCAGGACAGAAAGTTTTATGACTTTCTGTGCTAAAAGTCTTAGGACAGAAAATAAATTAGGCACAAGCAACCCAGAAAGCTAATCTACACCTAAACATACAGAACTTACATGTGTCATTCGTTCATATTTTGCCTCTTTTTTAAATAACACATGAAAAAACAGCTCAAATGAACAAATGCATGTTACTGAGTGTGATACCTAGTCTCGCTAATCATCTTCATGACGACTTTTCAGTTCCCTCTCTCAGTGACTACTACCTGCAACTAGTAAACCATTTTGCTGCAAAAGCACCTTACAAAATTTGAGCACCTCAGAAGCTAGAATGGAAAACAATCAGATTGCTGTTGCTTATCCTCCAGAAGGACAGCCTTCAAGTTGGAAGCATTTTTGGTTATGTGACAACAGAATGTTTCATTACAGTTAAAACAAAAAGTTAAATAAAACAAGAAGGAAACAGACAATATTTTCTGATTTTCTGCCAGAAATATTAAACTGCTTTTGATGCTCTATGAAGCAATTATTACCTGAAAAATCTCTTGCACATACCTTGTATTCTTTTTCACTTATAAACATGTTAAGTTCCATTCTTCCATATCTGTATATGGAACTGCATTCATACAGGGCAAAAATCAGCCTCCACAGCATGTTTCTTTCCTTTTTCTGTGGTATGATTCCAAAAATTTTCACAGGTACATCTGTTCCAGTAGTGAGTAAAAATATGTTTAAAATATTTGTGGGATTAACTGAATAGCTTAATGAAAATGTGTAAGCTACAAACAATTTTAAAAAGACTGTGAGGTCATTTAAGTTGAGAATTAATTAAATTCATATTTTATTCAAAGCCAAATGCAATTTGCATTAAACTAACCCTTTACTAAAGGCATGCAAATAGCTGTGACTTCATATTGCCAAAAGGCAATAGCTTTTTAAGCTATTATCTTAGCTGAACTTGAAACTGAAATTTAGGATATGTGTGCATAATCTGTACAACCACAGAATATGTATTAAATAAAACATATATCCACGCAAAACCCCCAAATTTTGCCAAACCATGTATCCAACCCATAAACACGCCAGTAACATGAGGCCACGTAGGTATTTACCTGCTCTCCAAGGAACTGCTGCTACCCCCACAGATTCAAAAAGCTTCTCAGAACATACGGTAGGTGGTTTTACTGGTCCAGTGACCAAAGGATCCAATCTGAAGAAGTCACCATAAACTACTTTGAGTTGTCCACCCAAGCTTTTCTCTAGGGACTGAAAGAAAATAAGTTTCAAGTGAAGAAATACGGGCACAGTAAGCTGTCTTGAAAAACACCCATTCCTCCCCCACCAGATGTTCAAGTACTACTTAAATACAGTATCCAGACAACAAGAGCCAACTCAGAATCACTTCTCATAGACTCCACAACAAGCAGCTTCCTCTATTAAGGAAGGCATTTTGACATTTTTATGCCACAGAACTGACATTTTTATGCCACAGAACTGACATTTTTATGCCACAGAACAGCTTTAAAACATTCTTAAAGTAATAAGATATCCTGCAAAAACATTTTGTGAAGCAGTGGAAAGCAGCATTCAGCTGAGCAACCCACTGCACTTGTAGTGGTTTATATCTGAAATTCTTTGCATGCACAAAGGGAATTCTCTTATACACATTTCAAACCAGGCGAGCACCTGCAATCCCAAAGCTCCCTTGCAAATCACCATACCACATGCCTTTGATGTAATAACTTAGGATCTACTTATGACCACCTTGGGATCCATAGGACACCAAAAACAGGAGATGGTAAAGAGCTGAGTATCTAAGTATCCCGGGTCAATTGCAGGGGAATAGATTAAATAATATTGTGAGATAATCCAAATAATCAGGGCTATTTTTATAGGTTTCTGAGGGCTATACTCAAATATCTTGCTTAAACATACAACACCACAAACACGCTGATGAAAATTAGCTTTAAGGTTATAAATTAATCGGTTCAAAGGGAGACTACAAATTCCAGTATAAAGCCATGGATTATAAAGTAGCGAAATTATTGCTGAATGTGCTAAGTTAAATCAACCGCTAATCATTAATTTTGAAAGTTACTTCAAATGGTACAAGCAATGATCACTAAAAAAGGCTTCCATTCACCAGCAACACAACCGCACGGTAACTTCCCGCTTCGCCCTGGGCTGCTTTTAGAACCGAGCTATCAAGTCAGACATCCACCTGCAGGTCTGGCAGAAACGCCTGGTCACTTTCCAGCGCAACAACTCGAGCCCCTGAGTTGAGCAAAGTCCGCGTCAGGACTCCGGGACCTGAAAAGAGGTGGGAAAAGCAGCATTTTCTCCACGTGAATCCCTTCAGGGTGCCTCCCGACACGCGCCGCCTGCGGAGCGCGCCCGCGGGTCCCGCTGACCCCGCAAGGTCGCGGGGCGGCCCGGGGCGCCGCTCGGCAGGGGCAGGGGCGGCCGCGGGGCCGCTTACCAGGCGCGCACTCGAGCACGAGGGGCTGCGGGCCGGGCGCCGCGTGGACGCGCAGGCAGCGCTGCACGGTGCGCGCCAGCTCGGGGCAGGCCACGAAGCGGCGGAGCACGGGCACCCTGCGCCGGGACGGGCCCTGCGCCCGCTCCACCAGCCGCGCCGCCTCC